AGATTACGTTGCGTCCGCTCTCCCTGGGCCACGATCCCTCGTGAACTACGCTGCGTCCGTGCTCCCAGTGCCGCGCTCCCTCGTTAGTTTCGCCGTTTCCGCGCTCCCAGGGCCACGTTCCCAAGTCAGTTACGCTGTGTCCGACCTCTCCCCTCAGTCAGGGCCAGGATCCCTCGCGCATTATTCTGCGATCCCTCGTAAATTACGCTGCGTCCGCGCTCTCACGGCCAAGATTTCTTGTAAATTACGCTGCGTCCCCTCTCCCTGGGCCGCGGTCCCTTCTAAACTACGCTGCGTCCGCTTTCCCTGGGCCGCTCTCCCTCGTGAATTGCGATGTGTCCGCGCTCCCAGGGCCACGCTCCTTTGTAAATTACGCAGTGTTCGGGCTCCCAGAACCACCTGAGCATCCTGGGGCACCCAAGCCGCTCGAGTTCTGCAGAGCAAGCGTTTCGCTGGAGACATCCCCGAAATTCCTGCGCGCGGGACGCGCCGTCTCCGGGCGCACGCAAATTGTAAACTTTTCTTTATTGATTTTCACTTTCAGAGTCTCCATACCTAGTGTTTTATCGCGGGTTCTGCTCAGATCGCTCCGCACCCGTTTTCTACAATGGAACAGGTGTGTCTGCGGACCCCGTTCTTTATCGAGTATCCGAGATAAGGGGGGCACATTGTCTTCGTGCGGGCATGCGCGAACCTTCTTATCCACGCCGACTTGGATTTTACTTATTTTTTGATCGAGTGGAAATTCGCCGGCCCGCTTCGAGTCATGGCCAGGGGGAAATGTCTAACAGAGAACCCTGGACCTTTGCCCTTTCCAGCAACATGATTGACCCACGAACCCAGAAAGGGATTGAGAACTGCGAGGCATGGAAGCGTTTTTAGGGAATGCAGATGCGATTGGGCGATGCAAGGGGGACATGCCAGGGGGGCGCCCCGCACAACGTCCCAAGGGGCGCGCCAGGGGACGTGCCACGGGGACGCACCGCGGGACGTGCCAAGGGGACGTGCCAAGGGGACGTTCCACGGGACGTGCCAGGGGACGCGCCGCGCGACGTGCTAGGGGGACTGGCCACGGGACGTGTGCCAGGGAAGGTGCCGGGCGACCCGCGAGGGGATGTGCCAGGTAATGTGTCAGGGAACGTGCTACGGGACGTCCCTGACGCCGGGACAAGATTCCTCGTGCATTATTTCGCGTCCGCGCTCCCAAGGCCACGATTCATCGTAAATTGCGCTGCGTCCGTGCTCTCAGGGCCGCTATCCCATGTGAGTTACGCTGCGTCCGCGCTCCCGGGCCACGATCCCTCGTAAACTACGCTGCGTCCGCGCTCCCAGGGCCGCGCTCCCTTGTGAATTACGCAGTGTCCGCGCTCCCAGGGCCACGCTCCCCAATAAATGGCCGGGTTCGCGCCTCCCAGGGCCGCGCTCCCTTGTGAAATACGCTGCGTCCGCTTTCCCTGGGCCACGCTGCGTCCGCGATATTGCGAATCAGTTACAGAGTGTCCGCCCTCCCAGGGCCATGATCCCTCGTAGATTACGCTGCGTCCGCGCTCCTAGGGCCACGATCCATTGTAATTTACACTGCGTCCGTGCTCCCAGGGCCACGATCCCTCGTAAACTATGCTGCGTCCGTGCTCCCAGGGCCGCGATCCTATGTGAACATGCTGCGTCCGCGCTCCCAGGGCCACGCTCCCCAGTAAATTACATTGGGTTCGCGCCTCCCAAGGCCAGGATCCCTCGTCAGTTACGTTGTGTCCGCGCTCCCAGGGCCAGGATCTTTGCAAAACAAGCGTTTCGCCCGAGACATCCTCAGAAATTCGGCACGCAGGGTGCGCTGTCCTCGAGCGGGCACGTAAAAAGCCAACCTTCCTCCTCTAAAACAAGCGCGTGCTTCGAGACATCCTAGAAATTTCTGCGCGCGGGACGCGCTATCCTCGAGCGGGCACGCAAAAAGTAGCATTTTCTTTTGAAAGTTTAGGGGCTCCATACCTTGTGTTTTACCATGGATTCTGGGCAAAACGCTCCGCACCCTGTTTGCTACAAGGGAGAAGGGGTGTCTGCGGACCCCGTTATTCTATCGAGGAGGATCCGAGATAAAGGGGGCCCATTGTCCTTGAGCGGGCAAGCGCGTTTATTTTTTTGTGAATCCATTAGGTTTAACCCTGTTATTCATCGCACATCTTGGCCGGGGGGAATTCGCTTACTAAAAGAGAACCCTAGGCTCAGGCTCTTCCAGGGGAACATGATCGACCCACGAACCCGGAAAGGCATGGCAGCGTTTTCGAGGCACCTGATTGGGCGACGGGCAATTGCAATGTTGAATGCATCGATGTTGACGCACCGTGCCACGGGCTGTTCCGTGCTGCGCCGTGCTGAATTGCGATGTGCCCTGCCGCGATTGTGGATCGAGTCCTCCTTTGCATCCGAGTCCTGAACCGAGCTGATCTGGATCTTACGCTCGAGCTAATTGACAGGGGGACATGCCGCGGAACGTCCCAAGGGACGCGCCAGGGGTCGTGCCAGGGGTCGTGCCACGGGGACGCACCGCGGGACATGCCAAGGGGACGCGCTGCGGAACGTGCCAATGGACATGCCGCGGGACGCGCCGCGCGACGTGCTAGGGGGACATCTGGAATTTAAGCTCAAGCTAATTGACAGGGGGGACACTCCAGGGGGACGCCCCGCGGAACGTCCCAAGGGACGCGCCAGGGGTCGTGCCAGGGGACGTGCCATGGGGACGCACCGCGGGACGTGCCAAAGGGACGCGCTACGGAACGTGCCAATGGACGTGCCGCGGGACGTGCCAGGGGACGCGCCGAGCGACGTGCCAGGGGGACTCGCCATGGGACGCGCCACGGAACGTGCCAGGAACGTGCCAGGGAACGTGCCAGGTTGCAAGGCTGAGTGTATTGATTTTGATGTACCGTGCCAAGGGCTGTGCTGTGCTGCGCCGTGCTGAAGTGCGATGTGCCATGCCGCGATTGTGCTCTGTAGCGTTGTGGATCGAGTCCTCCTTTGCATCCGAGTCCTGACCGAACTGATCTGGAATTTAAGCTCGAGCTGCCTGAGCACATTCTAGCTGCCCCAAAGCTAATTGCCAGGGGGACATGCCAGGTGGACGCGCCGCAGAACGTCACAGGGGACGCGCCAGGGGTCGTGCCAGGGGACGTGCCATGGGGACGCACTGCGGGACGTGCCAAGGGGACGCGCTACGGAACGTGCCAATGGACGTGCCACGGGACGTGCCAGGGGACGCGCCGAGCGACGTGCCAGGGGGACTCGCCATGGGACGCGCCACGGAACGTGCCAGGGAACGTGCCAGGCGACGCGCCAGGGAACGCGCCAGGGAACGCGTCAGGGAACGTGCCGCGGGACATCCCTGACCCAGGGCCAGGATCCCTGATAAACTACGCTGCGTCCGCTCCCAGGGCCACGATCCGTAATTACGCTGCCTCCGCGCTCTCAGGGCCACGATCCCTCGTATATTACGCCGCGTCCGCTCTCCCTGGGCCACGATCCCTCGGGGCCGCGCTCCCTCGTGAATTACGATGTGTCCGCGCTCCAAGGGCCACGTTCTCTAGTAAACTAGGTTGTGTCAGTCCCCCAAGGGCCACGATCCATCGTAACTTGCGCTGCGTCCGCGCTCCCAGGGCCACGATCCATCGTAAATTACGCTGCGTCCGCGCTTCCAGGGCCACGATCCCTTGCAACTTGCGCTGCGTCCGCTCTGCCTGGGCCACGATTCATTGTAAACTACGCTGCGTCCGCGCTCCCAGGGCAGCGCTCCCTTGTGAATTACGCTGTGTCCGCGCTCACAGGGCAACTCCCCCTCGTGAATTACGCTGTGTCCGCCCCCCCAGGGCCAGGATCAATCATATATTACGCTGCGTCCGCGCTCACAGGGCCACGATCAATCATAGATTACGCTGCGTCCGCGCTCTGACGGCCGCTGCTTCCGCGCTCTCACGGCCACGATCCCTTGTAAATTACGCCACGTCCGCCCTGTCTGGGCAACGATCCCTGGGAAACTAAGCTGTGTCCACGCTCCCTGGGCCGCGGTCCCTCGTCAAGGACGCTGCGTCCGCGCTTCCAGGGCGCCCTGGGACATCCTTGGGCGGCCAGGTTCCTGGAAGTCTCCAAAACAAGCGTTTCGTTAGAGACATCCTCAACACTTATGCAAAACAAGCGTTTCGTTCGAAACATCCGCAACAAGCGAGAATGCTTACTTTGACGTGTGTTTTATCGATTGGAATTTCAAGCACCAGCGTTTCGCTCGGGGTATCCTCAACTTTTCGTTAGCTGGCCCTTTTCGACCCTGTTATTTATCTCAGATTCAATTCGCTGGCCCACCTCAAGTCGAGTCCCATGGGGACACAACCTAAAAGAGACCCCTGGGCCTGAGCGCTTTCGGGGAAACGGGGAGGACGCAGCCGGAGCAGGAGGAGGGTTACACATTTTTTTGGTCTGCGGGGCGAGAGCGAACCACTTCCGCTAAAAGCTAGGCGGGCTACGCGCGGCTTTAATTAAGGAGACAGGAGGAGGGTTACCCATACGTTGATAAGGATGAGTCTACAACCGTCTTGCCGAGTGTTGTCGGCCTTCTGGCCTCCAGAGGCAGTTGCGCAAGAGATGTTTCGGCCTCGTGTCGACCGGGCGCCGGGGGTCCACAAGCAGTTTTGTCAAGTCGTTTCCTCGCACGATGTCAGTAAGGTTGGCGCATTCTGCCAACCGGGCTGCACGATCAGTTACCCTGAGGATAGTTGCCAGTTCGGTGTTCAGGATGTTTGATCCGCCCTCCTCGTCAGAAGTATCCCATTCTTCGTTCCTGGGGGCGTCTCGGAGGAGATAATCGTGTTGCAATGTGGCGGAGGTGGGTTTGGGGAGTATAAGGAGGAAATGCAGCAGCTGCAGGATAACATGATGGAGGAGGTGGAGGAGGAAGATGCAAAGCTCGGAGAAGGAGGGACATGATAGCAGGTAGATGACGCACACGTTGTGACAATGTCCAGACCTCCGAAATTGGCATCTCCCTTGTGTCGGGCTCAAGACCACGCTTTTCTCGTGCATGTAATCATGCGTTCGGCGCCATGAGCAAATGTGTCGTGGAACACAGGGGGCTTGGAAGCGATGGTGAGTCAGATGACGAAGACGACGACGACGATACTGACGCCTCGTCAGCATCAGACGACGCACCTGTGCGAATACTTCTCTTCGCGTTCATGTTCATGTTCCAGGGCTACGGCTGCATGGTCGGAAATCCGCAGCATGCGCTAAAAATGAAGCTGGATCCTGGCGGGACTTGGGGCGAGCAGGAGTCGAAGGATTTTCAAGATGCGACCGCTTCCTTTCAACTCGCGAAGCTGTTCATGCGGATCGGGCAGATTGCTTTCTTGGTGTTCTTGCGGCCGAACGGAATAGTGTTTTTATCGTACATCGTTATGTTTGTCGCGCTCCTCACGCCTCTGATTGGAGTCTGGGGCATGGGAATCGACAGCCTCTGGATTGTCTACCTCCAGTACAGCTTGGGAGGTGCTGCAGTTGGCATGTTTGAGGGCACATTCTTGACTGCCATAAGTTCCCTCGGCAAGGACACCAAGACCTTCACCATCATGGGGGCGCCGTTGGGTGCCCAACGGGGTAGTGCAATCGGGGCCCATCCTTTCCCAGCTTTGCTGCCCCTGAGTGGGGGTCGGCCGTGGCAAGCTTGAGACGGATTCCTCGGTCGCCCCAGTTGAGCTACCCCCGCACAGCATCGCTGCCGCTGCCACGGCCGCAGCTGCTGCCGCATTGCCCTGGCACATGGTGCGCGCGAGCTGGGCAAAGACAATGAGAAACAGGAGGGACAGACGGCGAGACAACCATGACTCCCTTGAACCCCCCCCCGCTGGTCAAATTTGTTCCAGGCGGCACGGCAGGCACTGTGCAGGGTCGGGAGAACCGCCAGCACCGATCTGGCGTCTTCGGTGTTTGGCACGGACTGGGGCTCTTGGGCCAAGCATCCAAAGGCGAAGAGGAGGGCATAGCCCCTGCGACGAACGCAATGGGGAGCAGGCCGGAGCCGACGCGAGCATCAAGGCGACCATGCAAACAGCAGGCAAGAAGCCATCCCGTATCTCCGACATCTCTTCGTGTTCTTTGTTATGTGAGCGTGTGTAAAGAAATCTCGTTTTCAATACGGCCCCCCCCGAGGTTTCGATCCCTACCCGGGAGCGGACTTTCATGCCGAGTCGTTTTCTGATTGTCCCAGGGCCCAACACGGCCCCCGCAGGGCCGAAACCGGCGAACGACACCCGTCGTGCTTATTTCACTTCTTGGATTGTAGTGGCAGACTTGCACGGAAGGGGGGCCGCTGGCTGGTGAAGCGGAACTGAAATCACCCGCTGCGTGTAGCCATGCTCAAATGCTGCACGCGCCTGCTGGACACACGGCGTTTTCATCAGCATCATCATCATCATCATCATCATCGTCATCAGCATCGTCATCAGCATCTGTGTGTGAAGTCCGCTCTTATCAGCTTTCTATCCATCAATCCTGCTGCCATCTCGGCTCAGATATTTGCCAATCCTATCTAACAGGGCTAGCCCCGCTTGCCCGCGGCGCATGGGAAAAAGGGATCGCTACCCTCTCCCTTCCCATCCTCTACAGGCGGACACCGCTGTAGGTTCGACTCTTCGGTCGTTACCCTACATACACATGTCCTCGACGTCGGCGTGCTGAAGCAGTGCCAGGATGCTCGGCCATGAATTGCTTGGCCTGCTCCACGAGGGCCGCCTCATTCGCAGCCGTCTCGTCGTCCTGCAGGATGCCGTCATTATCACTACGGGGTACCTCGACGATCAGTTCCTGAGTGGGAGCGGCCGCGGCAGCGGAGCTTTCTGGGTCAGGCTTTGGTCCTGAAGACTAAAAGGGTCGGTCGGCATCGATCTCTGCAGATGGGCGCGGGGGATGATTGGCGTCAGCCGTGGAGATAGAAGCGCCAGGTTGCTGTGCGTGTGCGGGACTGCCGTCTGGCCGACCCTGTCATACTGGGAATGCTGAGTGAACGTTTTCCTGAAGTGACACATTGGCCGCAAGTGAGTCGTCCCACAGCCTTCGACATGCACAGAATCCCGAGTCCCAGATGGTTCTAGTCCCATGAGGTATGGTGCGAGAAGTCTTTGACAACACACGCATGCAAGCGGATGGAGGGATCGAGAGTGGGAGATTGACGTCTTGGGGACAACAGTAACAGGCCTGGCAGTCTTAGCGGTCTACGTCGTCCTTTCGGTCTTCGGGGCAGCTGCGGGGAACAGAAGCGATAGCTCCAGCAATTTTTGCCAGAGATGAGCCTTCTGAGGCTCAACATGTTTAGTCATCATGTCAGCAACCTGTTCTTTCGTGCCTAGAGATCTGGGCTGTGTTTTTTTCCTGTTGGCATGTCTCCGTGTTCCAATGCAAGTGGATAATCTGAGTACGATGAAGATGGCGAGGTGCGGGCGTACGCCCTTTCTGTATTATCGTAGTGGCAGCTTGGTTGTCCTCCGCCACGATAAGATGCACCATTTTGAGTGGTGGTGGTGGTGGTGGTGTGGTAGATGAAAGCGGGGCATGTAGTACGATATTCTCGTGCACGATGTTAAATGATGGTGTTCGTGGTGGTGGGGTATCTCGTGTCGATGTCCGGGGGCCAGGAGAGGAAACTCGCGTTGGCGGCGCCTTCCGTGGAGGCGTCTTGCGTTCCTTCTTTCCCTTGTCGTGTGTCGTCAACCACAGCTTCCCAGCATGAAAGCCAATGTAGACCTTAAGTACGCAAAGCCGTGGCGAGAGCCACGATATCGGACTCAGTGGACGAGTGGGATACGACGGTTTGCTTTTTGCACACGTCGTTGAGCGGGCAAAATGTGTTCGGGCCCACCAGCGCAATGAAAACGCTGGTGGGCGATTTTGAGCTGTTGACGCAACATCTTGGGCCTGGAACGCCCCGTGAATGATCCTTCTTTAAGCATGATATGATCAGTTGTCGTCACAACATCGGTCACAACAGTTATGCGAATTTCGAGTTTTGGGGCGCATCGCACCCGCATACCTCGAGACATATATTCTTAGGGCCTGGGCAGCCCTGTGAATCAGTCGGTGCGTTGCTATCATTTTGACCAGTTGTTGTCACAATTTCGATCGCGCACATATGGTTGATTTCATGTTTGGTTGCTTCGCACCCACACCTTTTAATCTACATGACATTTGAATTGAACATGCGCTTTGAGCGCGCACCTGCGCGCACGGCTTTGCGTGCCGGTGGGAACACCTGCGTCTGTGTATTTCAGCAGTGGACTTGACGCAGGATTTTCCTTTCTTCTTTCTCTTGCCCTCCCAACCCCGTAGCCTGTGGTGACGGGGAGTCGTCGGGGTGCGCCGAAGCGTTTTTGTTGGGGGGCGCACCCTCGGCCCGCTAAGACGGGTAGACTCCCTTAAGTACCCCGTGCTGCGTGGTTGGTTCCTCTCGTTCACCCCTAGCCGTGATGGCCTCGTTTGGAGGCTGCAGGGGATGAGAAGGTGTGTTGAGTGGACCTCGCACCTCTGTTCCCGAGCTCCGCCTTCGTCTCCCGTGGGCCCGAGGCCCGCGTGGAGCGTGTGGGGTGCGTGGCGGTGTGTGTGTGTGTGTGAAGTCCGCTCATGTCACCGTTATTTCCGTCCATCCTGCTATCGTCTCGGCTTTGGTACTGGAGAATCCCATCTGACATGACCAGCTCCGTTTGCTCGCGGGGCATGGGGCAAATCATTACCCGCCCCCCAACCTTCCTCTACCTGCGGGCGACACAGCAGGTTCGACTGTTTGGTAGTTAACCTACATGCGCAGCATTGTCGCCATCATCGTCATCGTAGTCGTCGTCATCGTCATCACCCTCATCATCACCCTCATCATCACCATCGTCATCACCTTCGTCATCATCGTCGTCATCATCGTCACCATCGTCAGCGTCGCCATCATAATCATGACCATGGTGATGATGATGATGATCATGATCATTACCATCGTCATTACATAACCATCATCATCCATAGTTTCTTCTTCATCTTATTCTCCTTCTTTTCTCTCGGTATTTATCCAAACCATCCTGTGGTGTTGGGTCTTCGTTTTGAAGAGACCGTCCCCGCGTTCCTCCTCTCCTCCTCCTTCCGTCCTCCCCCTCCTCCCCTCGCTCCTCCTTCTTCCATGCGTTTCACCCACCCAGCACAGCGTTTCGTGGCACCATATGTGGGCTCCACCGAAGGTCCCAGTGGCACCGCCCGCATGCGTCCGCCACCACCCAGCACAGCCCTTGCCTTGCGTTTCACCCACCCAGTACAACGTTTCGTGGCCCCATAGGGAGCTCCACGGGATGTCCTAGTTGCACCGCCCGCCTGCGTCCGCCACCACCCAATACGGCCCTTGCTTCTTGCGTTTCACCCACCCAGTACAACGCTTCGTGGCCCCATAGGGAGCTCCACCGAAGCCCCCACTGGGACCGCCCGCGTGCGTCCGCCACCACCCAACACGGCCCTTGCTCCCTGCGTTTCACCCACCCAGTAAAATGTCCCAATGGCACCGCCCGCGTGCGTCCGCCACCACCCAGCGTTGCCCTTGCTCCCTGCGTTTCACCCACCCAGTACACCGCTTCGCGGCCCCATCGGGAGCTCCACCGAAGGTCCCAGTGGCACCGCCCGCATGCGTCCGCCACCACCCAGCACAGCCCTTGCTCCCTGCGTTTCACCCACCCAATACAGCGTGCCGTGGCCCCAGAAAAGGGGGCTCCACCGAGGGTCCCAGTGGCACCGCCCGCATGCGTCCGCCACCACCCAGCACAGCCCTTGCTTCTTGCGTTTCGCCCACCCAATACAGCGTTCCGTGGCCCCAGAAAAGGGGGCTCCACCGAAGGTCCCCGTGGCACCACCCGTATGCGTCCGCCACCACCCAGCACAGCCCTTGCTCCCTGCGTTTCACCCACCCAGTACAGCGTGCCGTGGCCCCATATGGGGGCTCCACCGGAGGTCCCAGTGGCACCGCCCGCATGCGTCCGCCACCACCCAGCACAGCCCTTGCTCCATGCATTCCACTCACCCAGTACAGCGCTTCGCGGCCCCATCGGGAGCTCCACCGAAGTTCCCAGTGGCACCGCCCGCATGCGTCCGCCACCACCCATCACAGCCCGTGCTCCTTGCGTTTCACCCACCCAGTACAGGGTTTTGTTGCCCCATAAGGGGGCTCCACCGAAGGTCCCAGTGGCACCGCCCGCATGCGTCCGCCACCACCCAGCACAGCCCTTGCTCCGTGCGTTTCACCCACCCAATACAGCGTTCCGTGGCCCCAAAAGGGGGCTCCATCGAAAGTCCCAGTGGCACCGCCCGCATGTGTCCGCCACCACCCAGCACAGCCCTTGCTCCGTGCGTTTCACCGACCCATTACATTGTTTCGTGCGTGCGGGCGGCGTGCGGGCGTGCGGCGTGCGGGCGCTGCCGCCGGGGTTCCCGCGGAAGCTTTCTGCGGCGGCCACGCTCAGTGTCACGAGTGTACAGACAGGTATACCCGACCGGTTCAAATTCATATGCATTTACACGGGGCGTAGCCATGATCGCATTCGTGCAAGTATATTCGCTCGCGCGCAGACTCATTCACACTTAAGCTCACTCGCGCTCAGATTCACCCGCGCTCAGTCTCTCGTAATTCGACCAATCGTTTCCCCTCGTGTTGTGTACCCCTCCACATTTCGACACGCCCCTCATACGGTTCGTGGGCACCACCGAAGAAGATAATTCAAATTGCGGTACTCACAGCTGCATATGTTCGGGCCCTTCGCCAGCACTTTTTCGGTACATCTTTTCGAAACTCTATTTATTCCCCCCTTCGGAAATCTAGAACACTTGCGGACTGTGAGGTCCGCCGTCGGAAAATTGTATAATATCGGATACGCACGGCCGCGGTCATGTACCCTATCGTCCTGCCGAATTTATCGAGCCAGACCAGATAATCGAGAACGCCCAACGTGAACAAGGCTGCGATGCCAGGATCTCAGGTAAGCATGGCGCGGAGCAAGCTGGGGGAAGCAGGCCAGTTTCCGATTCAACCAAGCCTGTCCGATTCGATGTAAAAGTTTTTGGGTCAGTTTGAATTTGTTCGGTTCGGTCTCCCCGGTGTCTCCCGATTCGTTGTCTGTGCAGATTTTCGGCCGATGCATGCCGATTCGATTTCAAGTTGATCCGGTTCGACTCGTCGCTTCGATGTTTGGGCCGCCCTCGGTCGGTTCGTGGCCCGCCCAGGTCCTTGGGCGCGCTTGCCCTCCGGAGTCCTTCAGGGTCCCCGAAGAGCTTGGTCTGCCGTTCCCAGCCCGTGGAGTGCTGCGGGGGATGGGGTGTGGCTTGACGGGGGGGGGGA